GGGAGGAGGGGGGGGAGGGAAGTAAAGTGTTTTAAAATGGTCTTTGTGTTTTACCATTCAAATCAATTTTAATTGGCAATTTTCCTCAACTCTGTTTTGCCCATGACAGTAACTGGTAAGTGATTGCCCTACCTATCTTGACCTACACATTTTTTTATCTTATTTCCTCCCCCATCCTGTTGATGGAGAGTGAGGGAGCAGCTGGATGGGCATTTGGCAGCCAGACAAGTCAAACCACCATACTATTGCATGACAAGACCTATTTTCCAGGAAGTTTCAGGTAACCTGGCAAACATGGGTTAAAAATGATTGTTAGATGAAGCAAAACACTTAGTATTAAGTTATCACTATGTAAACTTAGGACATGAAATATTCATGTCATGCTGCCAACCTCCCTGATGTAGAAGACGCAGCTATGAATGCAGGAAGAAAGCCTGTTAGTTTAGCCACACCACCTATTTGAGGCAACTAAACTGACTCTTGACAGCACCTACAGTCTGCACTAACACTCTGCCAGCATGGCTGTTATCCAAGCAATTGCCTATAGTTTCCTGTCTTTCAGCTCTCTCCAGAGAAGGTGGCGAGGGGGAGGGGGGAGAAATCAAAAGCTCATTAAATAAAAAAAAAAAAAAAAAAAAAAAAAAGATTTTCAAAAAGCCAGGAAGTCACGAATACCCTAGCCCTCCATCCTCAAGACAGCATTAACCATACCTATGCTTCTCTGAAGGCCTTCAGCAGCAGGTGGAAAGACTGACACATCTATACAAGTCCTCACTATCCTTAAGACTAGATAGGAGAACAGTTTATCTCTCCCTTGCTAGAGTTCAAGTGTATCACTTTCTATTTATCAAGAGAACACTGTTCTCTTTGTAGTAGCCTCCATATACTTGGACCGATGTCAATGCCTTTAAGTCCTTGCTTAAGCTAAGCCACATGAGCATGCTCTGTTCACACAGGTCTCAATCTTCAAAACAGAGCACTTCATTTTCTTGTATTACTCATCTAGGCATCTCTTCAGTTGTTTCACAACTGTTTTGAAGTACCCCATGAAAAACAGATGCAATACTCCCAACTTACCATTGTTGAGTAGACTTACATGTTTCACAACCTATAGTCTTGTTCATACATTGAGCAAACATAACTATGTGCTCTGGAGTTTTTTTCCCTAAACAGTTTTTATACCTATCCCTAGAGTATACCACATTTCTCTTTCTGCTGAGAGTATCAGATGAAAGTGTGAAAAAACCATAATAAAGAAAGGAGAAGCAGTAGATTTGCTATCTACAGGAACGGTTACATTTTGTAGAAAGAAATTAGTCTAGTTTGACATTACTCGACAACCCCATGCTGACCATTACTCATTTCCTTGGGATCCTCCAGATGTGTTGCTTTTGACTAAATTGAAAAATTAACAGCTTCCTCTGAGTTTGATTTGGCTTTGAGTAAAACAATTGTTCTCAAAATTTACTTTACTCCACATCAAAGAAAACTTACTCTAAAGAGAAAAAAGTTTTGGCTTTGTTTAACAACAAATAACATACTAATAGATATTTAGCAGTAACAAAATAATTAATGCAAGAATATAGAAGGACACTATGCAAAGACAATATGATTATAGAAGTCTGAATGTAGACACTCAGTTAACACTGTAAAAGACCTCCAAGACTAAGTGCTATTCCTGAACACGTTATTCTGGTCTGTCAGTCCCAGTAAGAGTCTGCAACTCCCATAAACTGACCATCCCAAACACAAAGCAGAAATAGCGTTCTCTATATCTAGTACTTGCCTCACAACAAACGAAATTGCTCTACAAGTCTGAGAAATGGCCACATTCTTGAACAATAACATACAAGTTGCACTAAAGATAGAAGTGTTGTAAAGCAATAAGCAAAGCTGCAAGGTATTTTCTGCACTCCTACATTTAACAGAAGTATTATATATGGATATTGTAAGATCTCCTTCCTTTCATGAAAGCCACTAATTGAACGATAGACAATTTATACATGTGCAAAGACAACTCAAATGCTATTAAAGTAAAACAGTCCTGCAAGAGTTAAGATGTTATTAAGTGATGGGCATTATCACCTTCACAGGACAATTCAAGGAAAAGTCAAAGTAAACAAGTTCTGTAACATACTTCATAGCACAACCCTATTCTAAGTGAAAGTCTGTAAGGAAAAATTACCCACTTGCAACTCCCCTTTAGTCTGCGATTCTTAAGTCAACAGTTCACAGTGACTGTCACAGTTACTGAGAGAATAAAAAGCATTCAAACCACAAGAACAAAGAGACACTGGAATTCCATCCTGACCATAAGTGATAATCTGTAAATAACTAATGATATTGTACACTATCCTATGAGAACACAATGAATTGTTAAAGTCCTACAGACAATAGATACGGCCCATGCATTTCTCAAATTTCAGGTTAATGTGAAAAGTTAAAGAAACTACACAAGCTATTTTGAATCAAAGGAAGCATCCAAACTGTTAAAGTGAATAGTTAGGGATATTTGCCCTTTAAATGAAATGGCTAAGTCTAGATTTCTAATGTATCATAGAAAGATAACTCCACTAAGAATTTCACACTGAAAGCTTTTGTTCAACTGCAATTTCAGCCCATTTCCATTGGTACTCAGCATTAACAACAGCAATGACGTTAGAGGAAATTGCTTATAGCCCCCCCCTCATCTTTTCAAAGTACAGCCTACAGTTTAAAGTAATGCTAAAATTTCTTCCTGCATCTAGTTGGCAAAAAATACTTTATAAGGCAATACTGTTCCATAAAAGTACTGGTTTTTAAAACCAGGTATCTACTAAAATCAAAGCCCTAAGATCAAAAAGAGACCAAGATCAAAGCTTTGCCCCAGTAACAGTCTCCTTTGCACTGGTTAAGTATCAAGATGTAAGTTCTATGCAGCTAGCTTACTATTGATCAAGTAATTACTTGGCAAGATACTTATTCCAAATGTATATATTCTCATCAAAGTATCTCTCACTTCTGCTGGCTACATGTAATTTAGATTAACCTAAGCTACCTGACAGCTATAGAATACTTCGTTCTCTTCTTCCCATTTTCACACGCCTGAGAAAAGATAAGATATTCAGATTTTCTAAGGCAGTGGCACTATAGTAGATCAGCTAGGACTTGCTCCTTTTCAATCTTAATTTTAGGCAAAGCAAAAAGGTTTTCCAAGAGCTCAAACAGAGCTTGCTGTATGGCTGTCATTGTATAGTATAATAGTAATTAAAAAAATAAGCAGTTGATATTCAGGATGCTAATCAATTAACTTGACTTATGATTTATATGGGAAGAAGAAAGCTGGAAGTTATTCCAATTTAAGTCTCAAAAAGTGAGAAAAAGTTTTACCTTTAGAGGTCGGATAGCTTCACAGAACTTCGTCCACCAGCTTTTCTCAATAGACTCCAGATGCCTCTCTCTCCTTCGAAGTGTCCTTAGTCTCTCTTCTAGTTGTTGTACAGTCCGTCTATCCCTTGATGACAGAGGCCGACCATCTCTGCACTGGTTACCAAAAAAATAGTGCAAGAGATCAAGGGACATTGAATCAAGAAAACAGACTTGACATCTAGTTTAATGAGTTACAAAAACTTTGAAGACTTTGTAGTATATAATTCACACTGTTTCTATGCATAGCAAAAGGATGAAGTGCAAAAGCCATAAGCTGCAGGAAGGGGAAATACTATTATGTGGTAGAAAACACTCTTCGCAATGAGGATGTTCAAAAATTTTAACAGGGTCAGCAGTCTCCATGGCTAGAAATGCTTAAAATGCTCAGATGTGATCTAAATAACCTGATCTAACCTGAAAGGGGTCCTTGCTTTGTGTAGAGAGTTGAACCTGATGACTTTCAGAGGTCCCTTCCAATCAAATTCTATGACTAAGCCAATATATTAAGCTTGGCATCCGTACTGTCTTTCCAGCATTCCACTACAGATCCTCAGCTACGTTTCTTGTACTTGCAAGAGCAAGATGACTTGCTGTTCCAAAAATTAACCTTACAGAAATCCAAACAAGAGGCACCATTACCCCAAGAATTAGTTGAGTGTACCAGATAATTGGTTGCTTGAGATTATGTTTAAGAATGTACTTTAATTCTGAGCCTGTACTTTAATACTGAGCAGGTGCCATTGCACTCTTGTAAACCAAGTAGCACATCCTTAAATCTCAGTTATACGCTAATAAGCAAAAGCAACAAATAGGCATTAGGCAGCTGAACCAAAATTGTTTCTAACATTGATGCTACTGTATAACAAACTGATCCTTAGATAAAAAAAGGATTCTTATAGTTTTAGTACATCTCCTGCTATATATTTTTAAGTTTTGAGATTCCCTAATTCCATTTTTTTCCCTCTTATTTTAAAAGAGCCTTCCTGCAAATAGTGAAACACTTCACACCTGGTGAAGTTAAAGCGAATCTTTTAGATAACTTCTCAAAAACGTTAAAAGACTAAGACCACATTCTAGGCACATGTAACACTTAAATTGGAGATCACAGTGTGCTTTTAATAGGAACACATATTCTCCATACCCTGTATAGCACCTTAGTGACTTGAAAAAGACTTTTTGAAAACAGTCCAAGCTTCCAAGCTGCAAGTCCAAGCTTTGATTATTTAAGACTCATGAAATAAAGCTACCAAGTATACTAATAACAGAAGACCATACTATACACGGAATCTTTTCACTAGATTAAGTAGCATACTTCCACACCTCTAGTTCACTGAACATTACTCAGTACACTCACTTCCTTCATGACTTCATACAAATGTAACTGAAGAACTAAGATTTCTATTACAGACTGAGACAGAATCCTGACCATAACCTATAAACCAAGGAAAATTAGGTTATACTAATGGTCACATTATAATATAGACATAACTTAAAGACTTTCTACTTTTTGATCCTATTTGTTAACTAGATCCAACAACAAGACCAGCTGCTTGCAAATTCTCATAATCCAATATAGTCTTCTGTAATAAGTAATGCTCCATTTTTCAGGTGTTTCATTTTTCTCATATTGATTTCAGTAATACAGATGCTTTTGTTGTAGTAGTACTCTGTACAAAACCAAAACTTTACGATTTAAACTGGGGGAGACTACTTTTTACTTTTTAGGTTTCGTTATGCAACAAGATTTCTAGAACACTGAAGGTGCCCACACTGTGTAGAGGTAGCCAAGTATCAAGGCAAGACTGTTGGAACTGTTTCAACACTGCTGAGGACTACTATCACAGAGCATACAACAGCACAGATGGACTGCCAGGATGAGTGTGATGCATCTTAATGCCCTCCCCCCCAACCGCTCAGGGCTGTGAAAACACTGGTCAAACCATTATCTGAAATGAGTTGGGAAAAGGGTGGGAGACTATCCCTAGCATCTTGTATGTAAAGGAGAATCTTATCCTCCTTCAGCTTGTGCTCTTAGGTTGTTAAAAGTGTCCTGCTTACATTAGGCACAGCATTTCAGTGAGCTGCAAAGCCATCATGGGTTTACAAATGGTGTTAACATCCTAGGGATGTTTAGGATTCAGAACAGAGAGATTTCCAGATGTACACTTTTCATAAAGGAATGACTTATAACAGCAAGGTACATTAACTGGAAAGCAAGAATATCTGGGGCTGCCATTTATTCATAGAGATGATTAATAGTTTGATGAAACTAACTCATGACAGCTCCGTGTGGCAAGTATCCAGTGTTGATAACTACACTGAGTAAGTGTCAATAAATTGGATGCCATATCTGGTAGCAGACTAAGTGAGGTTAATATTCTTAACTTCTGCAAAGTATCTCTTCCATATATCCAAGCAGGACGGGAGAGGTTTGAGTTTAGCTCGTCAACACCATTATTAGCTAGACAGAAATAACTACTGCTGAAGGACTGCTAAAGAAAACCTGATCGCTACTACACAAGTGACCACATTTGTTTCCAAACAACTCAAATAAATGCAAACTAGTCACTTCTGACTTGCTATTCTTTCTGGAACAAAAACTCTCTACAGCATGACCATAAACTAGTAAGCAAGCAAGAAAAAATTCATTAAGAAAGTGAGAACAGACTATACCTTTGATTTAATCCTTAATAAATGTTGCTCCACTTCTTCAATATCTTCAGTGTTCTCTAAACGTTCATAAGCCGCACTGGTAGTTCCCTTAATCAAATTTAGAGGCAAAGCTGACATACCGTAAGCCTAAAATAAAAAGGAAACATAGATACTCAAATTTTCTGCCATACATTTTCATCTGATAAGGCTGCTGTATGTTGTAGCTATAAGGTATCACTGCTGGGTTTTTTCCCCCACCCTCTTTCTACAAACGCTTACTAAGGCAATCAATTTTTTTCCTTTTTTGAGCAAAACATAACAAACATGCTATGCAGATTCCAGCATCCCGCATTGTTCCAACAGTACTTTTGATGCAGTAGGTATAGTCTGTTACAGTACCTCTTACTCCATACCGCTCGCTTCTGTCATTTTAAACAATGAAGATTTGTTGCCTAGAAGTTAGGTAACTAACAGGTGTTGTGCTTGTAAGTGTGTGGAATTGTAACTAGTATAAACTGTGTATCCTAGAAGCATTGTTAGATTCTAGTGATAATTAACTTCGACTATGGAAACCGTAAACAAAAGCGATCCAAGTATGGCTCGGGGACAAGTTGCAACCTTGTAAGGAGAAGGAAGGACAAGTTCACAGAAAGTTCACTACCCTGCTGACCACCAGAGACCACTCGAGACCCTCAAGAAGACCCTAAAGGTTTTAGTGCGCATGTGTCTAGGATGATGTAATATTATAACTAGTTCCTGGAAATTTAATGAATATGTAAAAGAGAAATTTAAAATATGTATGAGAAGCATGGACATAAACAGAAAGGTGATTAGACCAGGTGTGCTTGATTTGTGGCAAGTCCACCGAGCACCCAGGCCTGAATAAAACAATATCTCTCCTGAGCGTGTGGAATTGGTTACTTGCACGCCGGGCACAAATCCGCTTTTCGGACAACATTTAAGCATCTCACGATTGCTGAGACAATAGCATGTGTTAAGCATAGCCCACTGAAGATTTATCAAGCTAAACCGTAGGTTTTTTGGTCAAATAATTTAGCTTCCCAAAACCTTAACCTTCCCACTTTAGATCATAATCAAAACATTGTGTAATACAGGAATTTCTAGATATTGAATTTAAATAGTTTTAGAAGCAAAGTACACAGAATTTCTTTGTAGCCAGTAGTTTTCAACTTTCTAGATAATTTCATTTTAAAAGTAAGTACCTGATTTACTAAAAGAAATTCTGCAGTTAGACACAGCAGAAGCTAGGTAAACACCTAAACTCAGTTACATTCCAAGACTGCTTAGATACACATTCACATTCATAAATTTTATGGGCATTTACTCCTAGTTATAAATCCTATACCATTCAAAGAGTCTGCCAGCTGCTACATGAACACTATGCCCAGATTTTTCCCATGCAAAGTCTGTAAGCTTTCCACTAACACTGGAAGAAACAGATACTTGAGGTGAGGTAAACAAGAAGAGAATGCCACTATTTCCTCCCTGCTACCCCGTGAGTCTTATAGGTCTAGGCCAAGGTCAGAAGTTTCTCCAAGCAGTTTAGAGACATTAGCCATAGGCTTTTTATTTGTTTTACTGTGGGTGGGAGGGCTGTTGGTGATAGGTTGTTCTTGGTGCAGAGCTCAGCAGGGAGGTTTTTCTTTTCTTTCTCTTAACCATAATTAACACATACTAAAGTTTTACTAAAGTGCTTGATATCTGAACATTTGCTAACTTCAGAAATGAGCAGTTTTCTAGATTTTCACAGGAAAGCCACTCCCTCCTTTGAGCACAGCTTTACATTTCATACTGAGAATAGATTTAACAATAGATTTAACACAAATGCTAGTGTGTTATAAGTGTCACTATACATGCTGTCAGATCACATGAGCTTTCTGTACACAAGACTTGATTTGACCTTCTTAAGAACCTACTTAGACACACCAATATCTCATGCATTGTACTCAAAGCAAGACACTGAGCCCACAAACTTCAGTTTCACTCTGCAAACAACAATATTCTGTGAATAATGATTCTATGATTCTATGAGCAAAGAGCACATTCAGCTAGATCTTTGACAACCTGCACTACGTGACCTTTTTTTGCATAGCTATAAAGTATTAACATCGGTTTTATCATAGACTTCTAGAGAATAAGGTAGGCTATTAACTATCTGCTCAGCATTTCAAGACTTCACAGCTGACATAGCCTTATTTGTCACCCAAAAATACAGCTTAAAAGAAGTATTTACAGCACTGTTTACAGACTGCTCCAAATAAAGTTAAACTCCATTTTTTTAGCTACAAAAGGTAACTGGCAATTTCAGTCTCTGTGTTAGAGCTTTTTGCTGTAAAAGCTATAAAAGGGAAAAATATCTCTCATCACAGGCTAGTGATAGCAATGAAATTTCATGCCTTCCAAGACATTCTAAAAGTTCTGGTTTGACCACAGTTATACAACCACAGAAAGGCCTACCTACAAGATTAAGTATTTTAGGTAAGGAAAAGATTTTAACTTTAGCTGGACTGTCCATAAATGTAGCTCAGTTCTCCCTTTACAGTATCTCCTTTGAGAGCATTAAGCAGCTTTGCTGTCTACAGGAGCTAAAAAGCAGTCTCCCCCAGTCCTCCTCTTGTGTTGGCTGAAGAAAGAATTCCTTCAACCTTTCTTTATGGGTTGCGTTCTCCAACTCTCTAATCACTTTCACAAGCCTTCATTGGAGCCTCTACAGTTTTCCAGTTTCTTAAACTAGGGAATACTGTGTCTGGGTTCGGTCCCCAGGTATGGCTTTGGAAGTGCCAAGTATGTGGTATAATCATGTCCCTTGATCTACAGGCTATGCTCTTGCTGATGCAAGTCCAGGACACTGTTTGCCTTTCTGCTGCAGGGCACAATACTGGCTCATGCTCAGCTTGCTGTCCACTAGGACTTCCAAGTCCTTTTTAGCAGAGCCATTCCCCAGCCGGTCAGACCCCAGCACAAACTGTTGCTTGGAATTAATCCATTCCAAGAGAAGGCCTTAACATCTGCTAAACCTGATGCCATTCTTGTTGGCCCAATCTTCCCACCTGTCAATGTCTCTATGGTGGCTCTTCATTCTGTTGTATCTACTTCTCCCAGTTTGATATCATTCTCAAACTTGATGACTATATACTGAACCCCATCATCCAGATCATTTATGAAGACTGCGTATTGGGACCATATTGACCCTGAAGAGCTCACTCAGGTCTGGCTGCTAGTAGCATAATTCCAGAATTTAGGCGAAAGTATAAACATCATCCAATTTCATAACTAGAATGCAGGCTGCAATCTAACCAAGGTCCCTCTGTGGCACCCAAAACATTTGCAGCCAGAGCCAAAAGACATTCAGTATGTAGAAACATATATAATAATGAGAGATTGCTATGACAACAGGCCTACACAATTTTACAAACCTAAGCTTAGAAGCAATTAGATTTCACCATTAAGCAGAGGCTTTTACCTGTTCTTCAAACAGCTACCATCAACTAACAGATATCAAGTATCTACTCAATAGAAATAGTTAAAGAATAAAATTCAGAGTTCTAAATCTAAATTTCTACAAAGCAAAATGCAACTCTTGAAGTGATGTGTTGTTTTGTTGTTGTTGCAAATTTGAATTGCATACTTGAATGTGAAGCTTGCTGTAGTGATAAAGGCATTCTAAGTTCCTTCCCTGAATACAAGAGATGCTAATAGTAAGGTGATTATGCAAGTAAGCCTCCCATCATCAGTGGGGGAAAAAGCTACATTGGTCCTTCAAGACACCAATATATAGAATGAAGGACAGAAAGATGAGTCATCTCATGTGATGTGTCACAGGTCTGAACAGAAGTTGTATTAGCTGAGTTTCAGGGCTGCATTTCCTTTCAGGCTGATGTAGTTCAAGGTTGCCCTGAACAAAGTTTTAATCTCCTGGGTCAGTGCAAGTGTTAAGTTATTCATGGGCTATTATTCTGGGCATCTGCAACTCAATAAGCAAGCAATGTATCAAAGATAGCCCAGGAAAAACAAAGCTGTACACTAAAGCCAAGAGAGGGCTCAGTCCTGAAACAAATTGTCGGTTCAAAGTTTGGAATATGAATAAAAACAGATCAAAAGAGCCTTTAAAGTAGTTAAGACAAGTTAATTTATACACATGAATTTTGATAAAACAAGTAAGTTTTGACATATTTACACCACTGGAACAACAGTTTCCAGGACTTATTTTCAGACAACCTTCGCCTAGAAATGTTAAGTCAGGTAAGAGGCACTGCACTGAAGAGTAAAAACAGTCATCCAAATGTAACAGGCAAAACCAGCATAGATGGTTGGTTTTTCCACATAGGTTCTTCAAAATAAACTGAATCTAGTACTAAACACTAACTGTTCAGGCTGGTATCTGATAATACATGCTGCAAGGTTAGGTCTTTAAAGTCTCAGGCTGCTATCTCCGCTGTTACTGAATGCCTGATCAGCTTCATTGAACCCCTATTTTATGGGGGGGACGGGGGGGGAAGGAAATCTAAATTTATAGTTAAAACAACTTATTTTAGAGAAGATTCCCCTCTTCTGAATCCCCACAAGTGACTCATGTAAGAGATCACCCCCTATCAGTTAGCTCAAGGGCTGGAAAGCCAAACCTTAAGAGCTCACTACCTAGGAAGTACAAGTTAGAGGCATCACCCATGAACAGCTGTCTCATTCTGATTTGAGAGTCTGCCCACAGGCAATACAGATAACATCTCTGCCTTCTACTCTAAAGGAGAAAAGAAAAAAAACCCAGAACAACTTAAGCAAAGCAACAGAAAACCCAGCTTACCTATTCTATAAAAAAAGCAGTCTAAACAAACCTCTTAAGACTTCTTGTTATTCACAGAAGTGGCAGCTAGGCTTGAGACAGGAATTTGCAAAGAAATCTGTCATCAGTAAAGCAGGAGCCTGTAACTCACATGAAAGGAACAATTAGGTCGATACTGTTTATGCAAGTATCAGTAGGCATTCAAGAACAGGGAGGAGCATGCTCTAGCTGTTCTCTCAGCATGCCATTGAATCTAAATACACTCTGTGCTCCAGACAGAGCACTAAAATACCTCAGTAGAGATTACATGAGCACTGCTTCCAATTTGCTTAATCTTCACTTCCCC